ATCAGCTCCACATCAGCCTCTGAGAACAGCTCAGAGTCAGAGTCAAGGCATGAGTGGCTACATACAGGCGATGATGTTTCCGTAGCGGTTCTTCATGCGGTTCTCGTCCTTTTTGGCCGAGTCCCATGGAGCCGACTGGCCCTCGAAAAAACTCTGGGGAGACAAACAACAAAGAGACAGAGTGTTTAAGAGTAGAATGGGTCCAGAGTGATGAAACTTACTGAAGGGCTTCATGAATAATGCAGAGGATGTGTCTGATTTTCTGTTCTCTGTTGCTGGGTCTGTGGTCAGAGCAGATGATTAAGCCCAATTAGGAGAATGAGCAGAGAGAGAAGCCGGAGGCATCTTTGCTCTGTTCCAACAGTGAAACCAACTCTGACTGCTGCAGGAAACAACACTGTCACTCACGGTAAACACCGTGAGTGACAGTGTTGTTTCTAAACCACAACATCACACAACCACTGAAAACACATTAACCACCTGACAACAAGGACGTTCACATTAACCCGTCCAAGTCATTTTACTTACATGCCTGCAGCAGGTGCAGCAGTTTAGACTGTTCTGTCATTATTTGGTCATTGTTTATGTTACACAAGCAGAGTGACAACGTGTGTTTGAGGTTAATGTTCAGGTAGGGGTGTGCAGTACTGACAAAAACAATTGTAATTTTGTTCCTAATGACAAGTAGACAATATTTTACATCCTTCAAACGTGCACTTTTTATTAACTGTAATCACCCTGGACACCTTCAGTACAGCTCTGATTCTTGTCACCTGCACAAATTCTCAGCTAACCCTGCAGCTGTGTCGGTGGTGGGGAGGAGGACGGAGGCCTGGTGCAGTGCTCTGCGTCCTGGTGCGGGAACAACCACCTGCTACTGAATTCGGCCAAGACCAAGGAGATGGTCATGGACTTCAAGAAGACCAGGACTGGCTCAGAGATTCCATTCTCAGAGAGGAGGTGGAGGTGGTAGAGAACTACAGATACATGGGAATACACCTGACCACAGACTGCAAGTGTAACACAGAGGCTGTCTACAGGCAGGGACAGATCAGACTCTACTTCCTGAGGACGTTCAGGGCCTTTAACAGGTGCAGCAGATGCTCTGCTAGTCTGCTGTGGCCCGTGCGGGTTTCCTCGCTGCCACCTGCTGGGCAGCTGCCTCAAAGACACCATGTGACCAGGAAGGCTGGCTCTGTACTGGGGAAAGCTCTGGAGCCAATGGAGAGGAGGGTGCTACACAAACTGTTAGACATCATGGAGAACAGCTCACAGCCCCTCCACAAGCTACTGGTCAGACAGCGGAGCGCTTGCAGTCAAAGCCAAAGGACACTACAGGAAGTCTCTTTGGCTGAGGGAGAAGGATCTGCTCCTCTCACAGATGGCATGTTCATCATACGCTCATGTTATGAATATCAACCTGGTCAGACACTAATGTCCTGTCACTTTACCGCAGTTCACTTATCCACCAGACTTACAAACTGTACAGTGCACCATTGTGGACCATTTATATTGTTCTTTTATTGTACTTACTATTTTAATCTTAATGCTTCTCTTATCTATTATGTGTCTATTATATATACAGTGGAACCTTGGATTGCGAGCAACCCGGTTTGCGAGTGTTTTGCAAGACAAGCAAAAAATTTTGATTCAATATACAAGCGAGGTCTTGCAATACGAGTAGTATGTGCGCTTTGTCTGCCGAGCATCACATGACATAAGTCACAACTGAGCCAATGGTTCTGGCGCTTCATTATATAGTCAATATCTGTACTGCAACAATGGCCCCTCACACCAGCCATGATTCTTTTCAAAGGTAAAGTGCAAGTTAATTTGTTTTATTTTTACTTTATATTGTATTTTGTATTACTGTAATCATTTTTATATGAATAAGTGGGTGTGGAACAAATCATCTGAGTTTCCATTATTTCTTATGGGGAAATTCGCTTTGATATACGAGCACGTTGCCAGAACGAATTAGACTCGCAATCCAAGGTTCCACTGTATTACTAGAACCCATTAGGCTCCTTCATTAACCACTTGTGACCCACACCTTTTTAAAAACATCCTCACAGAGCTACTATAACACGATTTCCCCTTTGGGATTAATGAAGTTATCCACCTATCCAGACATCCATCATAGAGGCAGCTCTCTCTCTCTCTGATCCACAAAAGTGTTCCCTTCCTGCGTCTCTCATTAAAATGCCTGCAGACAGATGTGTGTGACAGCAGTCTAACAGCTGCAGACATCTGTCAAGGCGAGAGGTGAGCGATGTCACACACACACACACACACACACACACACACACACACACATCTTTATGCTTTTGTGTCGCCCACGCTCTGT